AAAATACAAATGAAAGCAGGAATTTGAAATAAGAAACTATGTTTTCTTTAAGTCAATGAAAAAGTTATCACCTAGCAGTATTCTGCAAAAGCTATAATGCTGAAATAATTTAGCTATCCTTGTAAGCACAAAGTCATTAAAATCTACACACAGGTGATGTCAGTCCATATAAGACCTGAATTGGTGAGCCATGTCAGTTAGAATAGAAATAGACCTCTACGTGTATGGAGGGCCTTAGTAATATTAAAAATGGATTTGTAAAAAGCTCTTCTGAGAAACTGCGAAAGTCTACTTTATTCTTTGAGAACAGGATTAAACTTGTCAGAAGTATAACACCAACTAAGCTCTGTGACTTTTCATGTAAGTCAAACAAATTACACTTAAACAAAAAGTAATCTGTTGTAAATAAAAGTTTCCTTATTGAAAAAAATAAAATCACAGTTTTCATATAAACAGATGAAGCATGAAGTTTTGCGACAAGTTATGATAAATGCAAAGGAAGATATTCCAGATGATTATTATAACTCTAAATTGCATTCCTAGGAACTTTGCTAATCTGCAAGATTTTCCACTAGAAAAGGAAGGTACTAAAGCATCACTAATCTTGGCAAATGCTCTGTATTCACCTGCATCCCTTTTGAAATTTCTGTGACTTGTGAGGATTCAGTCTTTGTAACTAAATTGACTACCTTTATCAAAAGATGTATATCAGACCTTATGAGTAGTACAACTATATTTACTTGGGAAATGGAAGCCCTCATTAGTTCTATTCACAAATAAAACTAAGTTCAAATCTTTAACATAACAGGAAATAACCGAAGTTTGGAGCTATTTGTAATTTGGGGCATAAATGTCATTCACTTTGAATTTTATCAAACAAACCCTAAATGTCTTTCAGTTGTAGGGATCAAACTCCAAAACATTAATAAAGCAAGATTCATACATAATAAAAAATGTAAGTGGTTACCTCCAAATTCTTTTCTAGCAGGTGCAGGACTCCTAGCCCCTTATAGTTCATAAGAAAATATGCAGCAGAAAGGAAATGACAGTAAATAGAGCATTGAAATTCAAGTCAAAGATTTACTATAGTGTTTATAATGTCAAATATTATGTAGGAATTACATATTAGTATGCAGGTACTATAAGAAAGCTATTATTCAATGCATAGACTATACTAATTAAAATACTAAAGAATATTTAAACATACAACTATTATAAATTTTACCAAAACTAGTACATTTTAATGATTTTATGCTTATAAATCCAGAAATGAGGATTTTGAAAAAAAATTAAACCTAGTTTTACCTAAGAATAGTTTATATGCCTAGCTACAGTAAATTACCAAGAACAAAAGAAACATCTCTGGCATGCTGGCTGAGAAGGCAGCTATGAAAACATGTTAGGGACATCTACTGGGCAGTCTACCTGGTCTGTCATACGTATCACAGTCTTTGGAAAAAAGTTGAGAAGTAGCAAAAATGAGAGGAAAACAAAATGTAGAAGCTAGAGACTGCAAAATACATACAATGTTTTTAAAAGAGAATGGGGGAGAATTTTAAATCTAGCAGAAATGAAACTAAAATGGTCTGTCACCTGAAGGTGGAGGTGGCCTCTGTGGGGGAGCAGGACGGGTGGGAGGAGCCACTGGGCGGGGAGGTGGTGGTCTCTTGGGCTCCAGGGGCTGGGCAGGATCTTTCTGCTGCAGTGGAGGTGCTGGTTGAACGTCAACAGGAGAACCTAAAACAGAACATTAGGTAAGATCAGATTCCAAGTTGCTGCTGGCAGAAAGGAATGGTACTATATGTGTGCGTATGTATATATATTCAGGGTGGCCATAAAGTTCATGTGCAATTTAAATTTAACACACTCTGTGCACTTGGAGGTCCAGGAGTTCTTGATGGTGCTCGGCTTGGTCTGACGGGAAGAGAAGGTACAGGAACCTCTGGCACAGTAGGTGATTGGCAGGGACTAGTCCGGGGTGAGGAGCCTGGGGAAGTGCCAAGGCCAGAACTTGATGATGGCTGGAGATGCTGAGGAAGAATTTCCTCCACTTCTGCACTGTAGTCATCAACATCACCTATGGAAAAGCAAGATTATCAAAGATACTGCCATTTTAACTTTGTTAAGAATTGTTTTTCACCTTAGTTTTTTTTTTTTTTTTTAAATATAGGAGTCTTACTTTGTCACCCTGGATGGAGTGCCTCAGCATCACAGCTCACAGCAACCTCAAACCTTTGAGCTCAAGAGACTCTCCCACTTTAGTCTCCCAAGTAGCTGGGACTATAGGTGCCCAACACAATGCCCAGATATTTTTATTTTTTATTTTTATTTTTTGAGGCAGAATCTCAGTTTGTTGCCCCTGGTAGAGTGCCATGGCATCACAGCCCACAGCAACCTCAGACTCCTGGGCTCAAGTGATTCTCTTGCTTTAGCCTCCCGAGTAGCTGGGATTATAGGCTCCTGCCACAATGCCCAGCTATGTTTTTAGAGGTGGGGTCTGGCTCTAGCTCAGGCTGGTCTCGAACTTATGAGCTCAGGCAATCCACCTATCTGAACCTCTCAGAGTGCTAGGATTATAGGCGTGAGCCACCATGCCCAGCCTTCACCTAAGGTTTTAAAGGCTTAAAATACACAAAGTAAACATGTCAATGTTATGCAATTACAAATATATGTGGATTAAGTATATTAGGAATGTAAAAAAACTAGAATTAGTAAAAATACTCTTAGAGAAAATGTAAAGATATCTTATCTTAGAGCAACAGGATGCCAGGCATCTAATCATGTGGTACTGGGGAAACTTGGTGGCCTTTCCATCTTCCCCAAGCAGCTATCATACAGCTGGCTCAAAGGTTTCCTGCTGTCCCTCCAAACCTGTCCCCTGTGCTCTCTGGAACTGCCCTGCTCCCCAACCCAACCTGGGCCGGGCCTTAGACTCAACAAGCTCTCAGGCAGTCACATACCTTCTTGAGACCCTCCTCCCGGGCACAAGCCCCAGCCCACAAAAACCCTCTTTGCTTTAACTAAACATTGATTCTCCTAAAGTCTCCTTGTGTCCACTTTCCTTAGGTTTAGAAAATGGGATTGGGATGCCTTTCCCAACCTAATTCCAATTCCAGGACATCAACCTTCCAACCCTGAACAGAAAGTCCTGTTGCTTTCAGGTGATGCCAATCAGGAATTTATATAACAGCTTCTACCTCCACTTGCTTCAACAATCTCCAAATTCCATACTTTGGTCTCTTGAACTTGTTCATTGAGCACTAAGCAGAAAGTGGGATGGTAAGTGGGGTCCTACCATCTTTCTGCATGACATCAAAGTCCATGTGGACAACCCACCCTTGGTTGGTCTCATCCTTACTAATACTGACCTCCACTTCTAACACATATGCCCCTCTGAACTGCACCACTTTTGACATGCACTCGACCCTTCAAGCTGATCACTGCCTCCAGCCTTTCAGTTCTCTCCCTCAGTTATTCTTTCTTCCTTTGACCTCATCAGGACCCAAGGCTTGAACTCTCTAATCCTTACCCCCATCTGATTATGCTTTCTTCTGTGTCTAGCTTCAGCTTCTACAGTTCTTTACCTCAACAATTCCCTACCTCACTCTTCTTCAGTCCCACCAGCCTGACCAAACTCCACCCCTGCCTGAGTCCACTGTCTCATTCCCTTGTTGCACTTGGGCTGCTAAGTGTTGCTGCTAAAGAAAACAACACAGTCCAGATGACAGAAGTCACGTTCAACGTGTGCTTCTGTCTCTTCTGGGCTCCCAAAGCTTCTGAGCAATTCCATGACATTTCCTGGTTGGCTCGCCCCCTCACCCCCTCTCCTCAGGAATTTTAGCTCAAAGCTTCTCAGCTCTTCTGAAACTGTGGGTTGACTCACTGCAGGTAACTTCAACACTTACCCCTTCCCAGAGAAAAGAGGAGTCTCAAGAAGGGAACACCCTCTGAAAAAGTATGTCCCAAGCCTGAGTCTCATCATGTAGTTGGCACTCAGGTATTTGCAGATGACAAATGGGTCCTATCCACTCCAGTTTTCTCAGTGACCTTGCTCTAATTGAGCCCTGCCCTTCCCCAATATTGGCAACTCTTCTCCCTCTACCAACAATTTCCCATCAGCCCTAAGCATTCTCAAGCCTCTCCCATTTAAAAATAACTATGCCTGGATCCCCTATCTCCTTGAGCACTTGCCCTCTTTTCTCTTTTTCCCCAATCTCAGCCAAACCTTTTTGAAGAGTTGTCTACCAACACCCTCTCCACGCCTTCACTTTCCATCCATACCAATTTGTCACCATCTGGCTTCATCACTCCACTGAAATTATTCTCATAAATGTCACTAACAGTTTTCCTCTCTGTTATTCCACCAGGACATGTTTCTGTCCTCATTTCTCATCTCTCTGTGATAGAAGATGCCACTGACTACTCTCCCTTCCTTACAAGGATGATACAGCACACAGCATTAAAAAAATGCATTGTTGGCTCGGCGCCTATAGCTCAACCGGCTAAGGCGCCAGCCACGTACACCTAAGGTGGCGGGTTCGAATCCCCAGCCCGGACCCGCCAAGACAACAATGACGGCTGCAACCAAAAAATAGCCGGGCGTTGTGGCGGGCGCCTGTGGTCCCAGCTACTTGGGAGGCGGAGGCAGGAGACTCGCTTGAGCCCAGGAGTTGGAGGTTGCTGTGAGCTGGGATGCCACAGCACTCTACCCAGGGGGACAGCTTGAGGCTCTGTCTCAGAAAAAAAAAAAAAAAAAAAAAATGCATTGTTTAACCATGTTTAAGGAAATTGTTATATCCAGATAACCTGTCCCAATTAAATGGTTACATTTATACGGACAGCTTCAGTTTCAAATGTATGTGCTCCTAGCCACTTTGAGTCTTTTTAATTATGTTGGAAAAGACTACCTTTTGTAACAATTATTTTAAACACATTTCTGCTGTTAGAATATCCACTTGGAACTTCTAGTTTTTTACCTTCACTTTAAATATTTAGACTAAACCACTCACCAAAAATACCAATTTGAGTTCTTATCACACAGAAATATAAGCTAATATTTGTGGGACTTTTTTTTTTTTTGAGACATAGTCTCACTTTGTTGCCCCCAGTAGAGTGCTGTAGCATCATAGCTCACAGCAACCTAAGACACTTGGGTTCAAGAGATTTGCTCGACTTAGCCTCCCAAGTAGCTGGTACTATAGGCACCTACCACAATGCCTGGCTATTTTTTAGAGCTGGGGTCTTGCTCTTGCTCTGGCTGGTCTCAAACATGTGAGCTCAGGCAATCCACCTGCCTTAGCCTCCAGGAGTGCTAGGATTACAGGTGTGAGCCACCATGCCTGGTAAGCTAATATTTGTAAAAGTCTTAATATTTAATGGTAGAATAGCAAATACTTTTAAAGGTTAATTATAAGCAAAACAAACATAATACAATGTGAAGTAAATTCTAGTTAATACTGCTATGTGTGCCTCAAGAAGAAGAAGAAAGATAAACCTAGGTATTATGGCTTTACAGACAGAAAGAAAACTGATCTAGAACTATAGGCATAAATGAATTTAATAAACAAACCTTCCATATCAAAATCTGCTGTGACCTCGGCATCTTCACCAAGCAGGGTAGAGCTTGTTGATGATGGTAACGCAATGCTAATTTTCTCTAAACTCATTTCTTCTTCCAAATTTTTGATCCAGTCTGGACTTTTTAAAGTAATAGTTATAGTCCGATTCAATAACTAGTTGAATAAAAAAAATAATAAAATTAAAATTCATTAACATGAAATTTAACCATTTTGGAATAAAAGGACTGCTTACTATAAAATGCAATGGTAGAGACAGTTAACTAAGACTCAAGTCAACCTAATTCCTTCACATATATTAAATCTTCAACTAGTTTAAAGGTCTCTTTTAAAAGCCAGAAGCCAGCGTTGATAAACAAAGGTCTTTTTCTAGGCTGCCACAGATTCAAGTTTCCTTTGCTACAGCTATTATCTTTTCCTGGCCACATGTAAATTCACTCATAAGTTTTCTATGTAATTTTTGATTTAAATCCAGAGATTAAGTAATTGTTTCTGCATGAAACAATTACAAATGAGACAGTAAAAACACCTTTAGCATACATTTCTTATTCTTACCTTGGCATATGTAGCTGCTGTGCCATCAGCTACTCTATACTAACCTGTACAGTTTTAGCATTTCAAATGGCAGAAGAATATTGAGGGAACTAAAGACCATTTTAAAGCTTTAACAAAAACTAATCATTCTAAAAACAGAATGACTGCTACCTATGGAACCAGCACTCTGTCTTTCCTATACATTTGAGTGGCTTTTAGCCTAAAGTATAATCTAAAACAACACCACTTTAAAATCAAATTATACCACCTACTGTCAATGTATTTAAAAATACTTATAAAAAACTTGCCAATAACCATTAAGGCTCCACAATCAAGGATAAATAGATTTTGCACTAGAAAGAATCTCTCATTTAAAACCCATATAGGCTTGGAGCCTGTGGTTCAAGTGGCCAAGGCGCCAGCCACATACACCTAAAGTGGCGGGTTCAAATCCAGCCTGGGCCAGCCAAACAACAATGATGGCTGCAACGAAAAAGTAGCCAGGTGTTGTGGTGGGCACCTGTGGTCCCAGCTACT